AAGTATACAGCAAGGGTACCTGGCAAAAAGATTGTATAAAGCGAGCCGTCACTCAAACGGGCCGAAGGCCCGTTATCCGATGGAAGCTATATTACACCATGGAAAATCAGAAAGGGACGGGCCGAAGGCCCGTCCCAAACGCCGCCGCCGCCAGGCCAAGATAGGCCCACTCCCTGCCGAACCGAGTTGCCGGTGGAGCGAAGCGGAGCTGGCAACTTGGATTGGCGGAAGAGCGGTTCTAGCTTGTTGATATCACCAGTGACCTCACATCTGCAAAATTCGTGACCTCGAAGGTCACAATGACATCGTGAGAAAAACGTTTTCCTTCACTACTTTTTTCTATACTGATATAAATTTCGTATTGTGTCCAGAAAGTCTTCAATGTAAAAGTTCGGGGCTCTTATCGTTCTGTCCGACAGCAGCACTTGCTGAAATAGATGAAGCAGTGGAATGCGGGTATAAAGACTTATGCTAATGCTTAATTTGTCTTTCTAGGATTGCGTTCGTCAGCGTGGTATTTTCTACTGCTGCACGATAATGAATCCGTTAGCAGTGGTAACAATTTTACGCACCGAGTTTGAAGCTATTAGCTCATTGGTTTCATAAAGCAAAAGCAAACCAATGATTTTGTTTTTGTTCCATTTTTGCCCGCTCTTAAAAATTTCTTGGAATTTCCCGAAGATTCACTTTCCACCACATGTAAAAATTCCCAGAAGACTCCGTCCTTGGTTTCTGTGTACTAAATTTAGGTGTTAAAGGTGGAAGTTTTCATTCGTCTACATGTTTCAAAGCTAAACTCGACACGTGAAATCTACAGAGCTCTTTGGGAAATCCCAAAGGACTTTGGCAATACTTTTCACGAGTGTTTCTCCGTGAAATCCCAGGAGTGACATGAGTCACATAAATTAATTTTCAGGGCCCCGTAGCACCCTTAAAAGTTGACCGATCGGTCCCCAAAACTTAATGATTCTTTTCTAACCAAAAGAAATATATCTCCAGCCTGGACGTAATCATTTTTGAAAAATCCATTTTTAAGTGCCATGATTCACGATGCGCTTACCTCAATCTTTAGAAAACCGAAAACCTAGTAGGCAGACCAAGCTGCCACTGCATTAATGGGACCTTTCTGTACAGCTTACTGCATCAATAGTGGGAAAAGGACATGTGTGTTGACAGGGAGATGTCGTGTCGTAATCGATCTCGGTCGCTAGTACCCTTCAAATTTTACAAGGGCGGTCGCTCGTCCCTTCATGTTGAATAGCCCCATTAACCTGTGTGTATCTCCTCACTATCACGGGACTCATCTGGGGCAAAACGGACTAGTCTGGCCCCACGACTGGAGGTTGCCATCTCCACTCTAGATGGCAGAGTTTAATTTCTGAGCGGTTGAGTGCCCTTGTGCAAAATGTACATGACATACACATTTGTCTGTAGGAGTAGTAAAGGGTACCCATCATGATTTAACCTCCCCCCCTCCCCACCCCTCGGAGGAACGGCCCCAGCGGTGAACATGTTGTGACATGTCTAATCTAACCCCAGTGGGCATGTCGTGATGAGCCCGATGAGGTGCGCGACGTAGAGGGTGGCGATGGCCTCGGGGCCCGGGTCGGCCGTGGTGGCCCGAGTGAGGTGCGTGACGTAAAGGGTGGTGATGGCATTGGGGCCGCCGTGGAGTCCGGGGTGGCTGTCAACCGGGTGTGCCGCCCGAGATGAGGTCACCGTCCGTCAAGGAGTCCGCGGAAAGCCTCGCCCCGCCCGAGGTGATAGCCGCACCGGGTTCCGCGTGAGGGGTGTAATTTTTATGGTCATGTTGTATGAGCGCGAGGAAGGACACAAGTGCGAACATGTACAACACCGACTCCAGCGAATACTAATTTGAATTCTAGTGGCACGATCGACGCGCCCTCTAACGGCGTGCGCATGCATCAGTTCAAACGTTTCGCCTAACGAAAGGGGTGGTAGCGGTGGCGCTACCGCGCTCACGCCGCTCCACACTGGGGCGAAAACGGAAATTTAGGGTCATAAAGGTGATTTCTTTAGTGTGAGTTTAGAGTTCAGCCAACCGTTCTATTTTGTTCAGAAACGACCAAAGCTCACTCTAATGTACTTGTTAGACACGTATGTTGCCGATTTTTGTGAAAAAATATGCCTTAAAGTCAGTCAAAATTAAGTACGTATTAGGGCTCTGATTTGTACTCGGGTACCCGGAAAACCCGCTTACCCGGGCACCCGGGTAGGAACCATGTCGACGGGTTTTCCCGGGTAGACGGGTTTACACGGGTACTCGGCGCATAACCCGGCTGCCCCGCGCCTATAGCTAGGCAATTTGGCCTACGAGCATGTCAAATTGCCAACTCGCAGGCGCGGGTCCACCGGGTTTACCCGGGTACCCCGGGTACCCGGGAAAACCCGTTCACCCGGTTCCTACCCGGGTTACCCGGGGGTCGGGTTTTTAAGAGCCTTACTACTTATGCTCAAATCGTGTAAGGGGTCGACCCCTTCTTTCGGATCCGAAAAACCCAGAATTTACGCTCATTCCGAAAAGATAATGCACTTGAAGTAGATATTGTTGGAATGAGAAAGGTCCAAGGTCTCACGAGTCTCGCGGTTTTGATCCAACTACTTTTGTTGGCTGAGCGATTAGCGAAGCCTATAACTCCACTGAACGGGAAGTTCCATTCTGTTTGTTTGTCTGTCTGTCTGTCCGCACGATAACTCGAGAAAGAATTTAGAGAGCGATCTGGGAATTTCAGGGTCTTTTTGTATCATAAAAAGACAGATCGAGTTCGAAGATGAGCACTCTAGCTCAAAAATTGAATTTTTTAAAAATCAAAAACTACAGATTGCAAAATGTATTTTTATCAAATATTTTTATATGGGTTCCTACTTGGTAAACCGTTTAAGTAGAGTCCTCAGGACGAAAATTTCTTCCGTTTGGCTCTATCTTGTACCGTTTAGGTGCTAGGGGGCATTTCTTGACCAAAATGAGGTGAAAATAATCAAATGGTCGCTTTGAGAATTCGCCCTCCGCACGGCGCCGCCAGGCAAGGCGCGCCGAGGCACGGCGGGGGTCTGAGACCGAAACATCGAGGGGAGAGGTGTTCAGCAGGCTGGGCCCAGGGCGGAGATGGTACTCCGACCACTCCGACGAGGAAGAGGAGCGCCCCCGTCCGGTGCGCCGCCGAGTAATACCAGCCCGTTACCGCGAATAACTAATGACATTTGCCCCCAGACTGACTGGGAAACTGATCTCCTAAAATTAATCCTGTAAAAGTATTGTTCTGTTGTGTATGTACAGGGTACTGTTTTGTTGTTGATCCTTAAATAAAAAACCTTGGGGGGGAGGGGTGTTGTGTCGGTGGGTAACGGTTCGGCTGTCGCCCGCCAGGTGGCGCTGGATAGCGCCACTGGCGAGCGGCGGCTGAGCGGAGAGCTCTCATTCGTGCTCCGGACACTGACCGACCAGCACCTCAACTCTTGAAGTACCAAAGGCAAGTGAGTGTATAATCATCCCTCGCTCCCGGACATAACATCATGCAACCGCTCTCGTGTCCGTCCGTCCGTCCGTCGTGCGTACGCCCGTCCATCGTGCGTGTAAGAGGAAGGAGATGAGCTAGAGGTCTGAAAATTTCAGGGTATCTTAAGGTTTGCTCTTTGAAAACGAAACCTTTCCGGCAAATCCTATCAATCACCCCTAAGGGGTGAAAGGGGGTGACAAAGAAATAGGGGTTGTTCCAAAAAGTAGGAAAAATATAATTATTTTTTTTATGGTCTTCTAATGGGTAACTCTTGAATATAGAATCCTTTGGTCCCCTTTCTGGGTAGGACCACGCCGAGCAGAAGGCATTTTTGGAGAAGCGTGGAAACTGTGATCTAAGCAACGGTAGAGAAAGAAAGCCTGATATTTTGAATCAGGCGTAGTCTTCATGCATTAGCAATGTTTTAAAAACCCCAGCCGGCCCGTTTAATGTCAGGACCAGCCGTAAACGTAAGTTATTCT